TTATTGCTTATATACAGTATTTTAAATTGTCCTTGTGGGATGTTATTGCTTATGTTCAGTATTGTATATTACCCGTGTGGGATCTTATTGCTTATATACAGTATTTTAATGGTCTTTGTGGGATTTTATTGTTTGCCTATAACTTTATGCTTTCTTTAATTACTTCCCTATGGATTGTTTTTGGGGATTCATGGGGGTCCTTGGGATCCTTTCTTCCACCTCTATACCCTTGGTTTTTTCCCCCCTGTCCGTTTCATATATATATATATCTCCTCCCCTAGACATTTAGTAGTATTGTATGTTTCTGCATGACATCTTCGCTATAAGTATATCTCCAGTTCTCCTCTAGGCTGGAGCTAAGCTCCGTACACGCCCCCGCCCCCTCATTCTTTCCCGGGCGTTGTATGTGCCATTCGGGGGCTTCGGGAGGCTGACTGTATATGCCTCCTCCGACCCCCGGAGCTCATCTCTAGCGGTCCCGTGGGTTTTCTTCCGATCGCGGGGGTACTCGCGAGCGAACATGAGGACCCGGCGGCCGGATCTTTTCTCCACGTGGTCACTTCCCGCGGCCGTCCCAGTCCAAGGACCGCGTGCGTCCGACCAGGTGGGGGAGGGCGCGGCTCATCTCCCATCGGTACCTTTACCGGGGAAGTTCCATTGTAAGGGTTTTCAGACTCATTTATATGTATAAAGGGCCGATGTAGGCGGTGTAGGTGCCTTACTGCTGGAAAGATAGTCTAAGTGGAGCACTTATTCTATTGCAGAGGCTGAGTTATATCCCTATCAATCCAGACCACCATTCCTCCCACTCTGGGTTTAATTAGGATATAGACTATGGTTATATTCTTTATATATTTACTGTGTGGGAGAGCAGTATGTAGGCAGTACACCCTGTGCTGCTCTAAATTTTCCTACATCTTGAATTTGCCCGTATTTGACGGCAGGCATAAAGGGACTACCTGTTACATGTTATAGGACTATAATCACATGATTACTCGGCAAGAAGGTCATATATATATATATTGGACTTATTTAACCCCAAATTCCCAGGGTTTTAATTACATTTATATGGGGGCTCGGCAGTGGTGTCTCTTTTTTAATAATCCCTGGTGGAGGATTCATTATTTTCCACCAGGGATTATTCAAAAACAAACACATTTCCCTTGATACAGTGCCATAGTTGCCAACATTTGAAAAAAAAAATCCAAGGACATTTTGCAGCACAGCTATCAATTACTGTCTGCATTTTGCAGCACAGCTATCAATCCCTGGACAGTCAGTGCTCTCTGTATAATACAGGGTTGTGTGTATAATAAATTGGGACAGTCAGTGCTCCCTGTATAGTGTTGCTCTCTGTATAATACATGGCTGTGTGTATAATATCCTGGGACAGTCAGTGCTCCCTGTATAGTGCTGCTCTCTGTATAATATAGGTGTGTATAATATCCTGGGACAGTCAGTGCTCCCTGTATAGTGCTGCTCTCTGTATAATACAGGTGTGTATAATATCCCAAGACAGAGAGTAGCACTATACAGGGAACACTGACTGTCCCTGGATATTATACAGACACAGACCTGTATTATACAAAGAGCAGCACTATACAGGAAGCACTGACTATCCTGGGATATTATACACACACAGATCTGTATTATACAGAGAACAGCACTATAGTATTATACAGATAGCTGACCATATACCCTATGTCCCAATCTCTAGACTACTAGTACCTGTCAACAGCAGCTCCCAGACAAGTGTAACAGGGCTAAAGTGTGCGGGAGCTCACACAGATGATTCAGCGGTAAAGCACACTCGCTGGCAGAGCCAAACTGGGAATCCAAAGCCGCCCTGGAAAAAAATGTATGCCATTTCTACAAGGCTAATACATTTCTACAAGTCAATATATATATATATATATATATATATATATATTGTACAGTAAGCACACAAGCTCACTGACATGCACAAATAGGCTCACTAACAGACAAAACTCTTTGACACACACACACAAGCTTACTACAGACAAACTCACTTGTATAAACACAAGGCACACAACAAAGAAGTTCAGGGACACACACAAGCTCACTAAAGACAAGCTCACTGACACACACACTCACTAAATAGAAGCTCACTGACACACACAAGCAGTGCCATCTTAACAGCGTTAAGGGCCCCCAGGCAAAGCAGTGCACTGGGGCCCTTCCTACACAACAACTCACAGGAATAAAAAATGTAATTATTGATAGACTGCTGAGTACATACACACAGTACACTGAATACGAACACTGAGAGACTGCTGAATACACACACACAGATTTCTGAATGCACATAGACATTGCTGACTGCACACAGACTGATTTATACATGTACACACAGACTGCTGAGTCCACACACACACACACACACACACACACACACAGACATAGTGAGTCCATATACACACAAAGACTGCTGAGTCCATACACACACACACACACACACACAGACTGCTGAGTCCATACACTCACACACACACACACACACACAC